GGACTTGGACGATTACGTTGTGTTTGGATGTCACCAAGGGGGCCAGGAGCGCGTCCTAATCGGATAAACGCGCTGGAGCTTGGAGCTTGCTGCTGGTGCGGTACCTGCGACTAGACTAACAAGGGAAGGGGTTCATCTGGGGTGATGTCAATACAAAGTCAATGCCTGATTGGCTGCTTCCTGCCTTGCATCTCAGGGTCCACCGCTATGAGATTAAACGAATATCTTTTATGGGTAACTTCATATATTGGTACCCGCGAAGGCTCATAAGGCCTTACGAAGAATACACGGAAAGCAGACAACAACAATAATGCTCTCTCGAACACAAAGCAAACGGGCTTCAAAGAGAACACACAGCGACATTGTCTCATTCCCTTCAGCGGGGCGCTCATGAAATTAAATATTCAATGAAGCAGTCAGTGCGCAGCAGATTAGCTCTCGACGCAACGCAGGGAGATATCATTTGACCTATTCAGGAAGTTCGGATGCACTCTCACTCGATATTGTTCAATAATCGACTCAATACGTTTACTCCGTATTTTGGTTGCCCTATTTACGCCTACGCTATGTCAGGAAAGATCAATAGTGTGTCTCGATCAAAAAAAAAAAAAAAAAAAAAAAAAGAAGGGAATCCATCGCCGCGTACCGCTCAAATCATCACATTATTAAGTCCGCTTTTGTAACCACCTCAACCTCGCCCGAATCCTTCCTGGTAGCTGCCTCCTCGAATCCACTCCACCAACTCAAAAGAGATACGTCGCTCAGTCTTCTCATCCAAGGACTTATCATGCGCAACCCTGACAACCATCACACCGGGACCTCGAAATTCAACTGCGCCTGCGTGAGTAATTTCTTCCTCTGTCACTGACTTGACGTAGATGACGAGGTCCGGTCCAATGATTCCCCTCCACAAAGTCGATACCCATTGCCAATGGTCGATCGGGGCATAGCAATCATAGATGGGTAGTGCGCAAGCGTACTTGTCTGAGAGGGTCAAGCTAAATCCCGCGGGGAGGAGGGCGACTGGCGTTTTGCTGGGTGCCGATATCGAGCTGTTTCGGGACCCGACAGCCTCCCCCTCCGATGCCCGTCTCGTAAGCGGGGGCGGGTCTGGTGCGAAAGCCGGCTTGGTGGATACATGCTTGATGATCTCTCGTGACTTCACATGCCACTTCAGAATGCTCTCCATATAGTTAGAGAACAGCTCCGAGGCGTGTAAGTTGGGCTGCGAATGGCTGCTCTTCCTGCTGCTGTCGCCGCCAGCAGAGGCCGTGTCGTTCATCCTTGTGTCGTCTTCGGCCGACAGAACAGACAACGGCGTACTCGCTCCCTCGCCCCACGTTTTCAGATCTATGTCGCCCAATCCAAGGAGAGACCGGTGCACTGCCGTTCCCACCTGCTCCAGCTGTCGAGGATCAGCCCCCTCAACGGCAACGACTGCGCCGCGAATCTCGATATCAGGGCTAGTCGGTCCCGGCGGAGCTAAAGTCGGACTAATCTTTTGCAGGACCTTCAGCTTGCTCCAGAAAGGAATCGTCATGATCATTGCCTCAAGGCTTTGAGCATATCTATCCCTCGGGTTTGCGATGCCCATGCCAGTCATTGGGTGTGCACTCGGGCGGTCGTTTGTATCGTTGTCTCTGTTGAGTGGCGGAGACAACTGGGTCTGGAGGGGTGCCAGTCGAAGACTCTCATCGTAACCTGGGCCACGGCTTGGCCCTGCGTTCGCCGGATGGGGCGGTCGTGGAGGGGGTGCCATATTACTATACCCGGGCCTCACGAGTGATGATGGACCGGGTAAAGGCCCGTAGCCGGCGATTGGCGGCGTGGGAGGCATACTCACCGACGATCTAGGCTGCCTTGATAGAGGATGGCCTGTGTATGGTCCGGGTGATGGGACTGCCTGGTAATATCCCGCGGGGGGGTTGAATCGGCGTCGTTTGAGCTCGGGAGATGGCGACATTGGTTCGTATTCTTCTTCCACTTCCCGCAAGTTGTTATGTTGGTGTTGGTAAGGCTGTTTTGCTCCAGGTAAAGCACGTCGAAGGTGATCGCTATCCCCGCCGCCAGCCTCGCTCGGGTGATGCGGCTGCATCTTCGGTTTTGCGGCTGTCGGTGTGCCTGCTGGTGTTGACGGCGTTCTCGGTGCTGCGATGAATCTGCCACCGCAGTTGGGGCACCGGCCTGGATCAGTCGAGGCCGACGATCCTGAATGACTGCCAGATCTACCACGACGAGGCTGGTAGCGGTAACCCGGGTATTCTTTTGCGTGTCGTCTCTTCTCCTCTTCTCCAAGCTGCCTCCAGGTTTCCTTCTCTCGCGAGTCTTGTGTTCTCCACCGCCGTCCTATAATTTTAGATATCTCTGGGTTGGAAAGACCTGGGAATTCCCTGGTGACATCAGCCTGATGGTGTTGCCTATACAATATGAAGGCTGTCAAAGAACGACGTCAGTCAGCGGGCTTTGCACAAGTCTCCAGTAGCCTGTTTGGATTGTCCGACAAAGAAGAGTCCCCCGAGGTCGGTCTCAGACCAGGTTTGTGACGAAGATGCGCCGAACGATGGTGCGGGATGAAGAGCGAAAGATGTGCGACTCACGATTGCGAGGCCTTGGGATCTTGAGCCCTGGTGTGCAGAGACAGATGCTGTTCTTGCCGCCCTGGCCGCTCATCGGTCTGGTCTCCACGCTGAGATTCCTCACTTTGGAGGTATTCACTTCCTCACTATCGATGGACGCAACGCGCTTTCTGCTTGCGCGACTGCCAGCAGAGCCTACTGAGTCTGGTCCCTCGTCCGTCTCCTGGCTTGCTTTTCGTTCCATGGCCGAATGGGCAGAGATGCCACCGGAGGAAGAGGTTGACCGCCGTGGCTGAGGCGTAGAGACCACATCTGTCATCTTTTTGGGCTGTAAGGGTTTGCAGGTGGTGTGCAAACAGATGCGAGTTGGGACTGGGGACAAGTGGGCGAGGCGTTCAAAGCTATGAGACGTTTGGACTTACACCAAGCTTCGGCAGGGGGGCGTTTGAAGAAGCAGAAAATACAGGGGGTGTATGTACGTTGTCGACGGTGAGAGACACGACGGGATGCTAGGGTTGGGTTTAAGTTCGAAGAGTGTTGGCAAATCTGTGTAGTCGTGGACTTGGGCGAGCAGGAAAGGCAGCAATGATTAACAGACGTGGGAGAGACAGGCGAAGCAGTATATCGGGAAATTGGAACGAGACGAGACGGGGCCGAGATCACTTCCGCTCGATGGCTGATTGTCCGTTCCGACCTTTTTTCCCCTTCTTCTTTGTGATATCAAGACGACGGCTACTCATTCAGCAGAAACCGAGCAGACAATGACCATCTATCTCAATGACTTTATGTTCAAAGATGGAGGTTGCCATTATGGGGGAGAAAGAACATGAGGGTAGGCAGGGCGGGCGGTACGATGCTGTCGAGACGGCAGCGACGAGCAGCAACCAGCATCGACACCGACGGGTGACCGGCGGCGAGGAGCAGGAAATGAGGTAGTACTCAGTGGTGAGCAAAGGGAGAGGCGGAGAGGACGAACGAACAGAAGTGAGGAAACGGAACAGAGGTAAGAAGAGAGAGCGAAATTGTTGCTCCTTTGGGGGTGGGAAATGTTGTCTCGGGAATGTACCGGAGACCCAAGGTTGTTGCAGATGAGGAAAGTGGTATTCTTTGTGAAGAAGCGTTTGCCCTCTGGTGGCCGGTGCCCACGTCGTCTCTGTCTCTCTTCTCTAGGACTCGCCCAGGTGTTCCGTTCGCATAGAGCGTTGGAGACGGAGAGACAGAGTATGGGCCAAGAAATGGGCAAATGCCTTTCTCGCCCTCTTGCCTTGAGAACAAGAAATGGGCAGGTTTCGGTTCCCAAGTCCGAAGATGGAGCCGAAGAAGGCGGGAAAGGATGCGGCGGTAACAAGAGCGATCTAGACGAGGACGTAAAAAGACGGATAATGACTCAAAGGTATGAACAACGACGAGACACGGAGACGCGACTTTGAAGAATATCCCTCCGCCTTCAAGTTCAAGTCTCGTTGGGTAAGGGTGGAGGTTTATCCTAGTTAGATGAAAGACGAAGGAAGCGTTGTGCTGCTGCTCAAAGCAGTCAGCTTTCTCATCCCCCTCACCCCATGTTATTTTAGGCATTTCCTTCCTTTCATGTCATCAGCAATGCAGTCAAGCCCAGACCATCTACAATGTCTATCCCGCATGTGTTGCAGCTGCTACTAACGCAGCATCCGCTGCCTCTGCCGCCGCTACTGGGCTCTTCCTCCTGCCCCCCCTTGCTTTGCCAGCCAGCCCGTCTCTTCAAAGGAAACCGCACACCTACTGCAGACTCTTGCGCTGGGGGGGACGTCAGAAACAATGACCCTTGGGTGGGTATGGCCAGGATCAGCATGAGGACTCTGTACTGGGGGGGGGGGGGGGGGGGGGGCAGATTGAAGGCGGCGGCAAAGGAATGAATGCAAAGAGAGGATGAGAGCGCTGTGTTCCCCGGCTGGAATGTTCAATCATAAGCCCGCCCGGTAAAGGAACAAAGACAATGTAAAGAAGTCTGCCCCCCCTCCCTCTCCTCACTCAACCCCGGCCGAAATTAGGCTAGGTTGGTTGGACACATCTCCCACGTGATGAAAAAGAAGGGAAAGGGTGGATAAGCTGGGTCCATGAGGAAATTCCTCTGCTTCATTCTTCTATGTGTTGGATGCAAGAAATTTTAAAATTTGATCGGCAGGACACAATGCGTTTGGCGTTGGTGATGTCTCTGATGACGGACGCAAAAGTACGGATGGATGGGAGGGGGAACCGCGGTTCAGAACGGGAACTCTGGGAGAGCAGCCAGGAAAAAGACAAGACGCGGTGAAGGACATTTTTTATCTAATTATTGTTAGGAAAGAATAGCACTGGCATTGGCACTGGCATTGACGGTGCGTGGGTTGTCTCTCGTTAAACTTGCGGTTTTCTGGTTCGCGGCCTGTAATGTCTCAAAATTTTCGGGATGGGCGGTTCTATTTTTTCCTCATCTGGAAAGCTTGACAGTCGTTTTGTTTTGCAAACAGCGCGCTCTCTTTTTCAAACCTCAGGATGCCCAGCCAAGCCGAGTAGGATAACGTGAAAAGGCATCAATGCCTTTGCTCGCAGCTCCAAGGCGTGCGCCATGTCGTCTAACCACACTCGTACTCCGATTCAACCACATACAGGCGAGTCTTCCAGACCGCTTGTCGACAGATGACTGGTCCTCTCTCCCAGCTGAATATCTCATGTCAAAGAACAACTCCATGGATTACCTGTTGGTCTCGATAATTGTAACAAGTTCTTTTTTACAACGCCGTCGCCATCCTTCATTCGAGGAAGAAGCCCACATGGGCCCTGTGACTTCTCCTCGCGTATCGTCCAACCATCATCTCTTGCGCTCGTCTCACGAAATGTATCCTTTGCCGCTTTCGCTGCTCAAGAGACTGGCGCTGCGCCGCGAGTCCAAAAAGAGGTCTTCGCACTCGGCCACGTCCTGGACGTCGATTTGACTGCGGCCGTTTGCCTTGGAAAGAATGCTTTCATTGGGGTTAGCTCACATGTCTCACACTAGCCGGTCGATCCATGATCCACAACAGAGAGGGGATGGGGGAATAGCTTTAGGGATGAAGCAAAAGCGGTGGGAAATAGGGCAAAGCTGTCACTGCATGGTTCACTGTGAACTCACCTGGCGGGTGTCAACAGCTGCAGGCAGTACCGCAAGCTGATGCGGACGCCGTGCTCCGCGATCTTGTCCAGGGCAGCGTCGGTAATAGGCACACCCTCGGTGGTGGCTCTGATGCGAACAATACGCTTGATCTCATCGGCCTGGTACGGCGTGGTTGGAATGATGAGCATGCGGGTCAAGAAGTCTGCCGGAATGCCGTGCGCCGCGACAATGTCATCTGTGCCGCGAAGCGTGGCCATTCCTCTGTTTGATGCCAGAATGACAATCGGGGCAATGGGTGACTCCAGAGCCCGGTTCAGGTACGTGAAACACTCGACATCGAGCATGTGTGCCTGTCGTGAATGATTAACCCACGAGTCCCAATCAACTACGCCAAATATCCAAGGATCTCTTACCTCGTCGATGAAGAGCACACCCGGCACAAGCTCGGCAACACCTTGGTCAATGTACTTGCTCACCACCTTGTTGATCTCTCCGCGCAGCTTGTCCGTGATCTCAGTCATCTTGGGCTTCATCAGCTGGCCCATCATGCTCATGATATCTTGACCACCCTGGGGCCGCGCGTTAGCAACATCGAGGTCGTGTAGCGTCACGTCCTGCACGATCTCCTTCTTCTTGTGCACCTCGCCCTTGGGAATGGGGACGTATTCCTCAGCCTCGAGGTCGAACTCGGTCGCATAGGCATCTGATCTTCCCACGCGCTTGCAAGCGCCCGTGTTGGCCTCGATATAGACGACATCTCCCACTGAGACTCTCTCCTTCTGGATGGCCTCGTATATGCTGGGGTCCAGGCGCAGCTTCTTCTGTCCCTTTGCGCTCTTCAGGCCGATCAGCAGTGTGCTGATCGTCTTTCCATATCCTCCCAGAGGGTTCTCAGCTTCCTCAGGTGTAAGCTCCGTAACCTCGCCTTCGTACACCTCCTTCGTTTCCCGAACCTTCAGGCCAATGGCTCGGCGGAAGTTCTCCATCAACATCTCTGTCTTCTTCACTTCCGTCGAGTAAATTTCGCTACCGACAATTGGGCAGAAGGGGATCTTGGTTCCAAGTTCTTGGCTGACGGCGAGAGCGAGGGCCGTCTTTCCTGTGCCAGGGCCACCAGCCAGCAGAACGCCGCGGCCGGCCATCTTGTGCGCTTTGATGAGGTCGACTACAACACCAGCTGCCTGTCGCGAAGTTAGTGACTGCCTTGCCCTGAGGTTATGGCCATCAAATGGCAACGCACCTCTCTTGCCGACGACTGGCCGACGAAGCCAGCGGCTTGCTTTTCTGCTGTGCCATCCTGCTTCAATCCCAGTCCCTTGATGTGGGTGTGGGCAGCCGTGCGGTTCTCGCGACTGTTTCCCTTAACCTCGCTGATTTGGACCATCTTCGCGGCGGAAGCGTCGGGTGCCGGCGGTCAATTCGTGTAGTATCAAGAATTCAATCGTGTGCGAGGAAGTCGGTCGGATTGTAGGCAAATTTGTCGCGGTCGGGATTGATCGTTGGCGTCGGGGGGTGGATGGTTGGTGTCAGACAGATTTGGATGAAGCTCCAAAAGATTTTGGGGCGACGCGCCTCAGTCCATCCCTGCAAAACTTCCAGGTGCACAGTGCAGGCGCTGACTTACACATTAGGAATTGGGTGCCCCACACGTGACCTCTGGATAGCTTCCCGTTTGCGCCTCATTCAACTTCATCCGAACCACCTCAGCTTATTCACTCGCTCAACATTGTTTTTTTGTGGAATTCAATATTTTCATACTACTGAAACTGTTATGGTATATATAATGTTGAATTTCTGACGGACAAACCATCGAATGAAGGGTCGGCCGACTAAACAAATGCTGCACACAACACCAAGGCAGGACTGACACAGAATACACGGACCGAAGCGACTTCTTCTTATTTCGTCAAACACTTACCTTCAACAGCGCCCGAAGCTCTCCGAGTCATTTTGTAGAAGTAAAAGGGGTTGACGTTTCACAGCATGTCTCTCCCAAATCGTACAATTTCTCATCGGACCATGATGTGCGGTTGAAACCCTCAAACCCCATGTGCATAAGTCAACTTGACTCAAATGCTAATTTCAATCACGGTTCTGTTCCCGCGTTCGGGAATGTTGAGACTTCTGTCTCACTGAGACCCTCTCCACCACTACAAACAGCTTCCCGCCGTGCTGGAATCCTGAAGTCACCCCTTGGATGCACGCCGTCACACGCCTGGCTTGGCGACACGTTTCTGTGCCTTTTCTCGAAAATCCCCTGAAGAATCCCCTGTGACGTCGTCTTCGAGAGACCAAGGTCTTGGTCGAGTGAGAGGCCCATTGACGATGCTCGGAGATTGTCGCCGAAGTTCGGCTTCTCATGAAAGATGAACTGGGTATTCTGTGAAAGAGGTAATTCACAGACAAATCATGTTTTGAGGTTTGTCTCTGGCAAGCTATATTCCCAGAGCAGAGGGTCCACACTCACGAGTGAGGTCATGCGGCAAGATGATTTCCGTCCCCGGATTACAAGTACGAGTATCCTTCAATATGCCCTTTCGTATCTCTATGGGTATTTGATCTCAGTGCTGTGTCTTTCGCAGAATGAGGTACAACGATTGACTGTTGGTATGTTGTTCAACTTGAGCTTTAAGTTTGTAGTTGTGTTCGCCCAGAAACCAGAGTTTTGCTTCCTCATAGCTTAAGTCTCCTATTCCATCTTTCCATTCTCTTCTCGGTGTAGCTCCATACATATGCATAGTAGGAAAACCAGTCAAGACGACATGTTGAGGGCTGAACCTTGACGAGATTGAATGTCTATTGCCTGACTTGGTATCGAATATTGATCCCATATGCGCAAGATCCCTATTCTAAGCGTCTATCAAGTATCGTACGACACTAGCCAATAAATCTATTCCCGGGCTCCTTTTTCATCATCTTTTGACGTATATCCAATCATCATACATCGTGAGCCGTCATATATCATCGCCTCACTCTCTGTAGCTCAAAGTCCTCGTCCCTTCCACCATCCATATCAGCCAACATCGGCACAGCCTCCGTATCCCGCACATTGGCAACTTCCACATCCGCCTCCCTCTTCGGCGCCGGTGCTCTCTTCGTCAGCACCACCCACAGCGCACTTCCGATGATCAGCCCGCAGCCCGCGAGACTCATCCATCCCATGACGTTGCCAAAAATGAAGCGGTCGAATCCGGCCGCGAAGAGCATGTGCGTGTACACCATGGCGTTAGCCCGATTCGACCGATCCGTACCGAGCCCCGCCGTGAGGAGGAACTGCATCACGAACCCGAACACGCCCAGCAGCACGAGAAAGAGCCACTGCCGTCCCGTCTGCGGAAGACCCCATCGTAGGGCGGGTTGTCCGATCTCGAGCATGGGCGCGGTGGTGAGCACGAAGGTGCAGACGATGGTGCACCACGTCGCAAAGTAATTTACTGAGATGAGCGGGTGCGCCCTCTTCCCGATCCATCGGATGGTCGTGAACGCCCCCGCGGCCCCGAATACACCCACTATCGCAACTCCGATGGCCATCAGCCGCTCCGCCGTCGTAGTCTGGTGGTTCAGCCCCGGCAGCGTCGAGGTCATTGTCCCGTTATTCAGACCTGGGGTTTCCGGCGCGGTGGCGGCCGCCGTGGACGTCGAGTCCCCGGAGAAGAGCGAGGTCGGGTGGGCGATGAGGACGACGCCGAAGAAGGCGATGACGGTGCCGATTTGCTCGTTTCTGGTGAACGGTTCGCGGAGGGCGAGGTAACACACGTAACCGGCGACGCTGGGAGCCAGGAAAGTAATGACGGTGGCCTCGGCGAGGGGGAGGTACATCATCGAGTACCACATGCCAAAGATGCCGAAGAAACCCGATACACCTCTGGCGATGAGCAGCCATCTGATTTCCTTCTTTCCAAAGGGGAAGTCGGGCGTCTTCATGTAGTACATGTAAAGACAGCAACAGACCATAGTGACGCTTTGCCGGGCGAAGAGGACTTGTAGTGGGTGCATTCCTTCGCCTTCGAGTTCGAGGAGCCTTGCTGTGAGGTTCATCAGAGCACCGAATAGTTGTGACAATGCCACCAAGGCAACGCCCTTGTTGGTCTGCCAGAACGTCGCCATTTTTTTCGTCTTTCCAGAACTCTGTAATATCGGCAGAGGGTACTCTGCCCCTGGTAATGGCGACGCTCTTCCATTTTGGAATGGGCTCGTGGAAAATCTGCGGAACGAGTCTGGATCTGGCAGGGCTGAGAATCCCTTTCCATGGTCGTGTGACCAAGACATCTTGCTGTCTATTGATAATCTCTGGCTGGTGTCATCCGTGTGTTCTGGACTATTATCGAGCCTCGCCTTGGCCTCAGTGTTCCGAGGAACGGACAGGTTATCATGATTCTGCTTCTGTTCGGACATGGCGGCTAAATGAGGTCATGTCTATAGGTTCAAAGTCAGGTAGCGTATAAGCAGCAGAGCCGGCGTAGGTAAGTAGGGAACAAGATATGTATTTCCGGTAGGAGAAGTGATCTCCGACAGCTCAACCGATGTTCAAAACGACGACCAATGTGTAAAGATCAACTCTTCACTTGAACGGACACAGACAGAGATTTTCGACCATGCAACGAAGCGGGGTGTAGTCACAAGAAAGGAAAAAAAAGATGCAGAAACGAAGGGACTCCCCATCGTTCATCGGAAGTGGGGAGGCTGGAGTAATGTAGTGTGTACGGGGGCCCTGCTTGTCAGTCACTCTGTCAGTCACTCAGGCGTGTCAGGCAGTCACTCGGGATAGTTCCTCGCCAGGGCGGAGACGGGGGCGGAGGTGGGAGCGGAGGAGTATCGATGGGCAAAATGTGTTGGTTGATTGCGTGCGGCGGCGTGGGCACATGTTACCTGGCGTGCCTGCATAGCCCGCCACCACGTCTCCCACCCATGCATCCCGTCTTCTCTTTGCTGAGTGTTAGTGGCAGATGCGTGAGAAAATGACCCCTCCATGCCACTCAAAGGGCCAAAATGTGTCAGTATCGGCGAATGCAGCAGTGCGGATTTGCTGGAGGAAAAGCGCTGCGGGTGGAGTGGGAATCCCCAGCATCGAATGGTGACGAACCAACCCACTTGGGAAACGCCCAGAGGATTCGAGAGAAACCAACCAACCAACCAACCCCCCGCTACCGCTAGCCCGGCGTCAACCCGCTGGCAAGGGCGCCCTTTTGTTTCGCTGATGCGCCGCCAACACCGAGAAAACAGAAACAGTGTGATCATCATTGGGTGTTACCTGTACACCGATTAGGTAGTTTCCTCCCCCCCGATATCGCAACCAAACCATCTTCCCAGGTTTTGCCAGAGGAGGAAGGCGCTGGGAAGTGCGCCGGATGTCGTTTGCCGGGGGTAAAACCAGCCCACTTTCTCGGCGCGGATCCACTCGCACCAACACCGACAGCGGCGGGCCCGGCACCGATTCGGAGCAAATGGGATTGGATGACTCGGGCAGATGCCAGAAACCCGTGTTTCTTGTTGCTTGCAAACTTTAAGGTTTAAGCCGTTTGAATGCAAGTCGAATGGTGTAAGCGGCTGAACCTTGTTAGTATTCCTCTCAACTTCAGTGGTAGTTATTGTCTCCGGTAAGCTGTAGGTAAACGAGCTGTGGCGTCGATTGTCCATGGAAGAATCACAAATCTTTGTCCAAAAGTTTTTGACGTTCCTAACCTTGTGGTTTTCTATCAACTCATTCACATCGCGGCAGACCGAGTCTTTGCAAACGATACTTCACGTATCGATACAAAAGCCCTTGGTGCTTGATCCACGGACGAGATGTCCATGAAATGCATGGGTACCTGGCTCGTTTCTTCGAGATCTCGGCTAGTCTCCGAAACTCAGCTGCTATTCGCTTGACAATTAAGCCGCCTTTTGCAGTGAGTAATCCCAAAACTGACATTCTCCAACTCGTGGGTGTCCATTTGACTATCGGGAGTATTATGCTTTTTGTGACCTGTTTTCCTCCTAAGCCAGACCCCCTTGTAATGATGAAATTGAATCAATACCCCAAGACGACCATCCAATAAACGCCTAATGCTATGCCTCATTCCCAAAAGAAGAACCCAAATGGCCGTACTTCCCACCCATATCACCCGAAGTTGGCTCACTTCCCATCTCCGTCCAACCTGACCCTTTTCGACGGTCGTCCCGCAACCTCACTCTCGGCATCAGCGTCATCGTCCGCCTCGCCCAGCTCCTCCTCTTGCTTCACCGCCGCGTCCGCCGCACCCGAAGCTTCGCCCGTGCCGTTGGCGGCCTTATCCTTCTTGCCGTGCTCCTGGTCCGCCGCGTCCTTCATGAGTACCGCCTCGTCGTCCTTTGTGAAAATCTTTTTGGCCGACTCGATCTCGCCCTTCTTCTCAAAGACCTCCTGGACCTTTCCGAGAAAGGCGTCGTTCTTGCGGAACGCGAATTCGAAATCCTCGTATTTGACCTTTTGCCGTCCCGCGTAGTTGGCCGCGCGCGTCGCTTCGAAGGCCATGCCTTGGATGAACTCGGTTACGATCTCGTCTAGCACGCGAATCGTTTCGGGGAGCGGGTTCCTCACGTCGCCGTGGGCGTATAGTAGTTGAGCCACTACAGAGCGCGCGTTCGATTAGTATAATGAGTCGGTGTCTTATGTCGCTGAGTTTCGCAGAGGAAAGAACATACGCTCGTTGTGGCTAAAGTTCATTTTGCCAACATTTTTGGCGGCGCGGGCGCGAGGCTCCATGATGGGGCAGTTGTGGCTAATTATTCGACGTAAGTGAGCAGGACGTTGCCGGTTTTCGATGAGTTCGCTCTGGAGGAGGTCGCAAAGGCTCTTTCGCGATGCGCGCAAGTTCGGAGTCGGGTTTGCTAGGGTAGGGTTGTCGTGGAGGAGGCTGTGGATGAAATTAGCTAGGTGCTTGCGAGTGACAGACTTCAAGGCATAGCATGGAAAGCAGTACCTTATCTTATCGTGACCTTGCAAGCTGAGCCTCAGGTTCTAGACCTAAGGTAGGTGGTCAAGAGCACCCCTGCTGACTGTGGGGGTGGCGCTAGTGCATCCAAACGTGGCTGATGTGAAGCTCAAGCTTAGGCCACATGTGGCACAAATTCTCCGGGCCACCTTGTCCACTGAGGAGAGGCTGAAGACAACCGCACCCCTAAGCCACCTGGATCGCGACCTTCGACCTAGCTTGTCCATTGTCCCAAATCCCCCCCGTTCAATTCGCCAACTACCTCTCGCAGAGGGATTCAACTTGCAACCATGGTAAGTCAAGCTCCGCGATCACGTTCAATATAACAAGCCATACTAAAACTTGACATAGACCGCCCTATTCAACTTCCAGTCGCTCCTCCTCGTCATTCTCCTCCTCATCTGCACATGCGCATACGCGCACCAGCTCATGCCAGCCATCATGGACCGGAACAAGGACGGGTAGGGTCACCGATGACATACGCTTGTGGAGAAATATGTTGGCTAAAATTGTTCGACAGCGTCATGGGTATATTTTGGAAGTTCGCAAGAGTAGGCGAACGGTTAAGTCCATACATTAGCTTATGCTGTGTCGTCATGGCGGCAAGTCTCCCTTCTCTCCGTTCTTCCTCTTTGCACTTTCTAACTGGCCTACGATAGGTCTCCATGCTCATCAACTAAACACCCAACCCCCCTTTGTATGATTGCGCGAGCGCGGAACCCCTCTCGATAGGGGTAAGAAAAGACTTGTTATATGGTTTGGAGTTGGTCTGGGAAATGAATCATTGCTTTGTTAGATGAGTGCCAGCACCAGGCGCAAGAGAGAGAATACGGCTGTGGTCAATGAGACCTGCATAACGATATCAGTAGTATATGGGTACTGTCCGTACTTGTTGGACGACGGCGGAAATAATGCAACGAATTCTGCCACCATCGATGGTAAACGATATTGGCGTTGGTCTGGATGTCATTGACATTTGTAGACTGAGGTGTGGATGGTTTTCAGGCTTCCAGAACCAGTGCTCCGTTTACATTGAAGCATTGAAATAACAACTATGTGCCTTCTTATTTGTTAACGGTGGCCCACAATGGCTCTGGGTTTGATATGTCGCGGTCCTAGTCAGCAAAATAATCTAAGGCTCACGAGCTTTGCATCTGATATGTAACCTTCTGCGGCTGCAACACATCCTGAACAGACTCACGGAGAAGCAGTCATCGATAAGGTCATTCTCAAGTACACGTCGAATTAGGTTGGTATCAATGATGTAAAGGAACAAAACATACATATTTGCAACCCTTCCGTATGGACTGTAGCCTTGGTATTTGCACATTGTCGTACCAAGTCGACGTCAGTTGGATTCGCTACCATCGCATGTTTGCCGAGGCGAAAAATTCCTCCCCGAGACTGGGTCAGCCGTATCAGTGGGTTTCAAAATAATGTCTGTCTTGGGTATTCGGTCCTGATTCATGATATCTTGTCTTGTAAAAGCATACTAAAAGCAACGTCGGCCTAGACCCCTCTATGAATACTTTGATCGAAGCTCAGTGGAAGCGCCAGATGATCTCAAGCATACTTAGGCTGACGGGAGTCTCATCGGACAACGTTTTTCCAAGTATTAAGAGCACATTAGTTTCAATGCCGAACACCTACACCTGAGACCCCCTGTAGAATCGAGCCACGGCGAGAACGACCGGGTTGTCAAAGTTCTGGGAACTCAATAGTGAAGAAACACTCGTGAACGTCTTGGTATCGATGTCCGTATTTCTTGCTCTTTACTCTGACTCATCCAGCCAACTAGCAACCAATTGACAAGTCGAAGGACCCGTGAGGAGAATGTCCTTTCGTGTAAGTACCGTATGGCCAACAGGTACCTCAAGGTGGGAGAATCATCCTCAAAGCGGATATCGCAGGGTATGCTGATGGTTCTGACGCGGTTGAAGCAGCCTATTTACCATTATAGTTTGCTGGTAGAAAATCTATATACGACCCATCAGTTCGCGGCGGTCATCTCATGGTGACCTCCAGATGATTCATGGCCAGCACCGCAGTAGCTGTCAATGACAAGTCAGGAGATCACATAATCAGAAGTCCCAGTATCAATCCCTGGGCATGCTGATAAACATGAGGCCTTATGATGTCAAACCCCGTCACTTTGTTTTCAGGTATTTACTACGAAGCGGTAATTGTAGTGGTAATGTTTGATGTATCTCGAAGATACAGGGGAGATGCGAACAGCGACAGCCGAAAAAGCAACCTCTAGTTCAACGATAATTTCTCACGACGTACTGTTCGTACCAGGAAAAGAGTTGCACATTGGATGGATGGGATACTAGAATAGGCCGTACCCTCACACCGGTCTCAAGAAGATTAAACTTCCAACAACAAACTCTTCAAGACGTCTGATAACAGACTGGGTAATGACTCGGATAGAGATAATCACCAGTCGAAAAGGAAAAGTAATCGGGAAGCCTGAAGGATTGATAGCCTCTCGTTCTGAGGCCGTGCTATCTTCACCGGAAGGTAAAGGTTCGAGCGATCATCACCGGATTTGCTGGATTGCATGTTGAACGAGCTTTAGCCGTCATTTTATTTTCCTTTCATACGTCTGTCTATCCGTCTACCTGAATCATTTTTGTCCTACAGAAAAAGGGGAGAAAAGTAAAACCAACAGGAGCCAGCCGAGGTTTGAATGTAGGTGTCCAAAAGTAATCCGGAATATCACGGACTCGTCAAAACTTCACGACATTCACCCCTCGGCCGCCAGGCCCGGTATTTGTTATTAGGATGGACATGCACTAGAATTCATACGAGGCATAAGCTGGAATGGTTGCTGATGCTTTCTCAACTTTGTCTTTTTGCATCTCGCCATCCATCGTGGCTTCTCATCACCCTCTTTCCTTTTCGAGTGATTTGGGACCGCCAAAAGACAATCGTCGAGGCCTTTGGATCCAGCTTCCTGATCGTGTGTACCTAAATCAACCGAGGATGCCTATCTCAAACCCAATACTGTATTTAAATCCCGCGGAATGTTTCATACCTCACTCTCTCCAACAACGCCTCTCGTGGGCTTGAGCTCATGACCAAGTGAAAATCAAGCGAGACAAGTAAGGCAAAAAGGCGAGCAGAACGCGAGAGACAGACAATAGGGTTCTTTCTCTAAACCTGCAACATACCTGATATATGACCTCTATAGCACCTTTTTTATCAATAAAGAATCAGCTGTCAAGACTCAACCAAAGGTAGATTACAAAGACCCATAGATTATTACCACGTCTGCCCAGCACCGGCCATCACTGCACATTCTCCTCCCCCTCAGCAAATCCAATTTCGTAGTAACCAGCTCTGAGCCATGAAATGTAGTCCAGATATGATCAAGAGCCAAAAACAGCACAGAAACCCGCCCCCGATAATGTTCTAGATGAAAAAAGGTACCTACACACACATACTATCAACTGAGATGAGAGACACACACCCATGTCCCGAATCGATGCGTGAGGAGAAAACCCACCGATTGGATATCACCCGGCATCCGCATGTGATTGTGATTGTGGCTGCTTCAAGACCGTTCCAGCGTTATTTTTATTTTCTTCTCGTACGACAACAATGGCACATGCTTGCTTCGTGGGAATGCAACTTCACAGCGGACAAAGCCGACAGACAAACATTTGCACTTGAGGTGCCAATCACTCATCACAATCAATGACGGAACACGGGAAAGAGAGCAAGAACAAATACTTAATGGCAATGTGACTCTTGTTTTTCTGTCTCAGCAATGCAAAAAAGTGCGCTATGTATCTGGATGTAACCACCTCCCCATGCAACGCCTAAACCAAATAATCATCGCGGCTAAGGTGCTCGCGAGCTTGATGCTTTGATACCCCAAACACCGTCTAAAGGTTCCGTGACCTCTCGTAGCCAAATCGAGTATTGCGAGAATAGTTGCCAAATGCAGAATTAAAATACTGTAAAAAGGGGTATTGTTGTTCGGCCAGACATAATAGAGAAGCCCTTTGCTTGGGCATGTCGGGTTGCTCGTCTTTTGCGACCAGCACCCCTTTTGATTAGATGGAGTTGATTTGAAGGGTAGGCTGCGTGCCTTAAAACTGGTTCATTTCCATCAAGCTGTCGACCTGCTCATCTTCGGTGTATGCGAGGCCTGCGAATACTCTCCAGTGGAGGATACCAAGGTGTGCCAAGCGGGTCGCCATGTCCTCGATTCCGCCATCGTCCCGGGTCTCCCGGTTGCTATCAGAGACCGAGCTCTCGCGTTCAGGACTGCCGATCGATCGTCCCGAGCCTTGAACACGGCTGCCAGTGGCTACGGTAAAGAGACCGACTCCAGTAAGCCCGCGGAACTCGCGAACTCGCTTCTGGAGCTCCATGAGAAGTCTGTGGTGGAAGTGTGCTTCGACTTCCTGAAACAAGGGGCTGTTGATGTCACATACGTGAGAAGCAAGCTTGGACTCGAATACCGGAAGCATGTCGGCTGGGGCGTTGGTGAACCGGAAGATTTGAAGGGCCAGCGAGGGAGCAATGGCTTCCCAGCGAGACTCGTGCCTGCGCGGCGGGGGCGAGGTGTGGAGCAGCGCGACCAAAGAGTTGTAAACATCCCTGGCCTTGGCAAGAGATTCTGTGGGATCGGACGTAGGTTGAGGCGGAAGGATGAGAGAAGACCGCGGCGATGACGTGGCAGAATCGCCGGAGCTGAAGGCGAGACTTGATGGCCGCGAAGGTGGAGTGTTGAAGTTGAAATCGGGGGTCATTGAGAGAGGGCGGCTGCGGGGCTCGTCGTCGAACTGTGAGAAGGAGCTGGCGAAGAGGGGGGCGTTCAACCGCCCGACTCTCTCAAGGTCGTCGTACATGCGCATGCAGACCTCCAAGTTGATGGCGTCCAACATATCCACACGGAGCTTGTTGAATCGCTCTTCGTCAAAGATGAAGGTGTTTGGCAACGCCTTTTCTGACACTGAGGGCAAGACCAGGCGAGAGATGGCCTCGAAAAAGACGGACATCTCACCGAAAGAGTGGGCTGCAATGGGAGACACAGAAGCAGCATATCTCTGCTCGGCATCCCTATACCAGGCATTTGCTTGAGTGACGTCCAGCTTGCTTCCCTGGATCTTCTTCTCGAAGAACTTGCGCTCGAACGGAATAGTTCCCTCGATGAGGATCGGCCGAAGGCAGCGAATCTGATGGTTGGCAACGTCGAGCTTCATAGCCTCCAAAACGCTGAGGAGGCTCTTCATGCCTTTGACAAGCTCATCCACATTGTTGGTCCTGTTTCCGTTGCTCAACTGGGTGTACATCTGATCCACCCACTCGTCACGCATCGGAGCGCAGTGTGATTTGAGTACTCGTGACAGCCAAAGAGCCAGCTTTTCCAAGTCTGCGATTCCCCGGTAGAACTGCTGCATCAGCAAGTCGACGTTGAGCCCCTCATCTAAGTACACTCTGTCTCTTTGAGGCACCAAAGTCTGGATGATTTCCTTGACAGCCTTCAACAAAGATGGCAAGCACCAGTCGTCGTCCTGGCCGTGCGTAGTAAAGAAGGACTCTGGCTCCCTCACAAATTGGGCGAGTTGCTCCTGAAGTGTGGTCCAGAAAAGGTCGGCCTTGTGCTGTTTCCTCTTGCCCTTGTCGCCGTCCAGATTAGGGCGGA